TGAGTAATGTTTATCATGCCTGAAAGGCAGGGGCATCTCTAGGTTTAAGACACAAGGGTGGCTCAGCCCCTAGAATATAATGCGCGCGCGCAGCGCGCGCCGAATTTTTTCAGTGCACCTGCTAAGGCGTTGTCTAAGACAAGGGTGTAACTTTGTGTTGAAAGTTGGTGGGGACGGCTCATAAGGAAAGGGAGCTACCTGCGCGACGCCTTTTTTTTTTTTGTTGGAAAGGATAAAGCCAAAAAAATGCGAATAACATTTATCAATTTAATGCTTACAGTTGAAAACATAACTGTTACAATATTCACTTATATATTTTGTGCAAAAAATATCACATAAATATAAACAGACAGTACAAATCAAATAAATATATCAATTTTGTAGAACATTTATTGACAGTCAATTTTGGGTCACTTTTTAAAATTTATTTACTTTTAAACCAGGACTCGGACAAGATCTTATGGGGCCTTAAGCAGAATATGATTAAGCAACTCCGTCTTTCTGTCAAGAACATCCACTAGCAGGGTATCCAGGGGGGGATTTACCATTAGGCAATACTAGGCAGTTGCCCAGGGCCCCAAGTTCTGGGGGCCCCATAAAACTCTGTTTCCATGTATGGTTAATACAACTAATCCTTATTTGTGCACATTAATTATGTTTTTGATAAAAATCCTTTGGCTAAAATGCCATCAGAACGCTGATAAATAGAGAGAAAAAAGGGACAAGAAGAGAGGGACAAAACCTAGAACAAATAATGGATGTCTATTCTATTAACATTTCTCTATCTGTAGAATGGGTCTGTTTTATGGGTTTTCTTCTCAGGGGGCCCCCTGCCTGTCTTTGCCTAGGGCCCCAAATTTCCTAAATCCGCCCCTGAGGGTATCACTACTGATTTGATAGAATCTGGGAGAGCGGACTATGTTCAACCATCCATTTTCTTTAACCTTATCCCTCAGTGGAATCAGGAGGTGCTGGTGCATATCTCTAGCCACGTTCTGGGTGAGAGGTGGGATCACCCTGGACAGGTCACCAGTCTGTCGCAGTATGTTCAACCAGCTTAAAAGTAATCGGTAATCAGATTTATTATTTGCACTTTTACTAAGTGAACTTTCTAACTCCCTTAAATCTGAAATTCCAATGCCAAAATTGTTTAAATCTTTTATCTTTGGACCCCCTGCAGAGTGACGTCACACCTGCAAGATCCTATCCTTACCTTCCTGCTAGATTGCAAAAAGCAGCTTGCCCATGAGTTGTCAACATAACACGCTAAATCTTAAATGTACGTGTACATATAAAAGAAAAAGGGGCGCAGTGCTTGCTACTGAATGGCAACACTATCAAAGTCAGGAAAAAGTTTTAAGTAAAGCCGGGATTAAAACAGTAGCTACAAGAAGCTTCAAATAAAAAGGTGTTCTTTATGTTCAACCTAAACACCAACTCCGATAGACCATCAGTAGAGCAGGTGTTTAAATTAATCAATCACTGCTGCGAAAGCTTATAGCAGTGAAAGCTAATATACCACAGCCATCACTTAATAAACGCAAAATAAACAACCCTCTAAAAACGGAAAACTGTAATGGACTGAAAGTCCGGTTTTTTATGTGGGAAATTATTTGCGTGTGTTTTAGTATAATTCTGATATATTGGCGCTGTTGTCTGTTTCTATGGCAACGATACTGAATGTAGTGTAGCTTAGAGACCTGCATGGGTCGAGTTTTACCAACCCGCACCCGCCCGAACCCGTTAAGATGACTACCGAACCCGACCCGTCACCCGCGGATATCTTCAATTCAAATGTTATGGGGAGAGGTTGGAGGGGGGTGATGGGGAGAAAGCGAGAGGCAACAGATTCTTTTTTCTGAGTTTTTTTGTCGGGGTTTGTGGACGGTGAGCAGCGGGGAGAACTTTTTTTATTTTCTTTCTGAGGAGCGGCATGAATGGGGTTTTAATCAGATATACACAGCACCGAAAGCAAAATACGTGTACAAAATATTGGTGGGGACATGTCCACACCAGTCCTTAAGGAAGTTACGCCTATGATTGTTCAGATTAACTTGTCTTCTTTATGGCTTTTATTCGGTGCTTTACTGCATTTGTTTTGGGAAAATATGAGGAAAAAATAAATACAGAAAAAAAAAATATATTTTTTAAAATCGCAAAATAATTATAGGGTGGCTAATGCCAAAGAAAGGGTGGCTGAAGCCACCCTTAAATAGGTCTAACGACGCTTATGCGAAAGGCTTGTTGAAATGAAAAACTACTTAGTTCTAATGTTTAATTAGTTTAGTACATTTACTTGGTGACTTAACTTCAGTATTTTTTGAGTATCTGTATTTTAGTTGAGTATTTATTATTTATCTTTTTGTATTTATTTATTTTTTTGGGTGGGGGGTACTGTCATCTCAGTGTCCTTACACGCTCACACTCCATATCCACAATTTTTCCACAATTAAAACTCAACTCCATTCCACTTATAAATATCAGGCTGATAAAAATCCACTAACTTAGTGATCCATTCATCCCTAACTGCAATAAAGAGACTCTAAAACATGTCTTTAGCTGACAGAGTGACCCATCTTGAGCAAATATGTAAACATTTTATATTTCAAATAAAAAAAAAGTCATCCTTCATTATGCTTTGTACCCCCCCCCCCCCTTTTTGCGTTAACCTTTGGCTATCCAATGATAAATCGATTAATTGAAAAAAACTAATCGACAGGTCTATTTGCAAAATAACCATTCGTTGCAGCCATCTACAGCCTCCTAAAAGGTCTTGATTATTTAGCGGTTTTGTCAATTGAAAGAAAACTTAATAAGATAATGAGTTAAGATTTTTTAATCCTCAGACTATCACCAAATATTCGAGATTTGATTGCACTGTTCCTGTATTAGTGCCAGTAATCCAGTAATTGCCTATTAGTTCCTCATTGTTCATTTTACTTGAACTGCATAGAAAAATTAATAAACACAGTTGTGAAATTTTTAGTTTACAGTATATTTAGGATGCAATAATCTTAGTAGGGCCTGTACTTCTTTTTTCAATTCTCTAAAAATCTCCAGAATATAAAAAATTATGTATATATTTTTTTAAATGTTACACATATCTACAGATAACTTATTGTTATTCAGTAACATCTACTGTTCTATTAACATTGACTGTTCTATTTTGCCACGATCCACTCAGTTAAATCCTCTAAAAACCGACAACCGATAGCTGCATCTATCCTCATAGCCTTTCAATCTAACCCTGACAAAGGTGGCCTGTCCAAACTATTTCCAAATCTCACTCCAAGCTTTGGTGAAAGGTTGGCAGCCCTGTACCTGTAACTTTAACTCCACAACATTTCAAAGTCAGTATTGTTCTTTCTACTCCACTCAATATCGAGGAAGCTGCTAGTTACTTCTTACCACAGCTGTTGCTGTTTATCTTTCTTGAAATGTAATTTCAACATGCAAGAAAGCAGCCCTTAGGATTGCTTTAGAGATTTGCATGATATTCCACAACTGTGAGAAACTCAGGGCAGATATTTGTAGTTTATACATTGAATTAAGGTGTTAGTTGTTGCCATGTGGCCAAGTTGTTCAGCAGGATGAGTTTCCATATCACAGTTGGAGTTACTTTGTGGTAATAAGATTCAATCTTAAAACACTATTCCTTAGTTAAAGTGTGAGGAAAATCAAGAAACTTGTTTTAGTTGTTTTGTTTATTTTTAAATAAGAAATAATAAGCAAAATAGCTGTCCTTATTTTTGTGGCTTTTTTATGCTGAAGTTCTTTACAAGTGGTGTAGAATGGGAATAAGAGTGGCTCTATGCATCAATACATCATCTGAAAGTTCTTTAACATCACTGTAAAAATTATACAGAAATGTACTGATACTAGAAAATTGAATTGGCATTTTTCAATTCTTAAGCACTTTTAAATGCATCTACTAATGAATAGTTAAGCATTTTCAAAAGTAAGTCATTCCATACTCTAACCTGAGTAGATGTTTGACCAAGTAGCCTTTACTTGTAGCCTAATAAGAATTGACTTTGAGTATTAATACCTTTACTCAAGTAATTCTGTTGAGGACTTCAACCAACACTCCTTTTGATAAGGAATTTAAAAACTTTTTTTTTACTAAGCATAATGAAGTTTAAAATGACTCCTGCAGAATTCAAAACAGACTGTACTTTTATCAGATGTATGTCAATTTTGTGCTCTTCAACTCTTTAATAAACCTATTTTCTCTTTAAAATCTGTAATGAACTGAAACCATTGGCTCCAAACTTGAGAACAACTTTATGTCTTTGCTTTCCTGTAAAACATTTTAAATTGCATTGAGGATAAACACTATCTTACGAGTTGAGATTTATGCTCTGAAGATTCTGTTTTTTTACTTAAATGTAAAGGTTGAAAGCTGCATAGGTTAATTTATTATTTTACTTTATATAAACATTTTATATCTAACAAGATATAAGTGACTGGAGGTAAAATAAAATGATCCTTGCAGTAAATACGTTCTTGAATACAGTTTTCTTTAAGCTTGTATCTGTGTCGTTTAAGGTTTTTAGTGTGTCATGTAACTTCTCCACAAAATGGCAATCATACCAAGATGGATTATTTTCTGTTTCTGTTGATTATAATACTAATAAAGTCTTAAATGAAAAAATATATATATACCGATTAAATGAAGCACGAAGTTAAGTGCTTTTCAATTTTTGGTCCTCATGTATTTTTTTTAAAACCTGAAATATTAAATTTCACCATGAATATATTTAAGGATATTTCCACAGTGGACAGGCTCTAAATATTGTATATGAAAAGAGCAAAGCCTGAAGGAAGAGAGGAAGGACACGAGGAAGGAAATTATAAAAAAAAAATGTAGGACAAATGCATGAAAGACAAAAAACAAAACAAAAAAAAGTAATAAAAAACAATAAAAATAAGGCAGTGGAAAATATAATAAACAGTAGTTAATAAAAATCTATTTTAAATTCAGACTAATAGGTCAAAAACACACTTTCATCACTTTAATAAAGCCAGTTTCATAATATACAGATATAGCATTTTAAATATATTGATAAAACTGAGTTTGTTTTTTTTTTTTACAGTGAGTTGATGGAAAAACAGTCGTATTTAATAACATAAAAATAGAATTTGCACGTTTGTGTAGATTCTACAGCGCTATAATCATAACATATAAAGGTCAAAAGCCTGCTAGTTAATCTCATAATAGTGCTTTTTTCTACCTCAGATTATTCTTCTGTGTATGGTCTGATTAAAAGTGTCACTGCAACTACAAAATCAGTTGGAAAGCATGATAAATGAAACATTTCTATGTATGCAGCTGCACATTTACCGCAAATGTAATCATGAAAAATAGAAAAAAATTACACGCTGAATTTGGGTTTCAATTTGAGCATGTTTCTAAATTAATGGAATGAAAATTATTTTATCCGAAATGCTTAAAAAAAAGTGTTTCCCAATTTCAGATATATGACAGCTTCTTTTTAATCTACATTCGATATGTTCAAAACTAGAAAAACATTTGTTAAAACCTTTCTTTTATTTACAGTACCAGTAATATTTTTACTCAGACCAAAACTCAAACCAGCCTTCCCGCAGATCAAGTGGAAACAGGTAAGTGTAAAAACAGAGGGGGGCAGTAGAGAGGCACTTTACACCAAGACACAATGAAGCAACCTCCAATCAATGGTTCCCATTGACATTTTCATCATGTGCTGTTTCTGGTTGGCTGCGAGAGCACTGCTGCTGATGGTGATGATTCACCAAGTGTTTGTGTTACTTTACAGAGATACTGGTAACAACTAAGTGCATCTGTCAGAATTAGAGACTAGGAATATCAGGAAGATAAATTACTTTAATCACTTCATGACTTGCAGTGTCCATTAATCAAAGCTGTAACTTTCGGTGTGAGAATGACAACTGAGGAAAATGGCTTCATCCGTGTTTCTACCGTCCTCTCCCTCTTGTTTTGGGTACTACGGGCTCGCCCTCCTCGCACTGACCAGGTAACCCTTTGACTTTATAATGCCGCGGCTCTTAACGATAACAGAGTAGCGAAGGACCCAATCGAGCCTCCAGTTGGTGGTGCTCAGACCAGGTGCTCCTTCCTGCATTGCCTCCTGGAATGCGGCTGCCGACATCAGCTCTAGGAGAAGAGCAACAAGATATTATCTATCAATATAGATTGTTTATCTTAGACCTACAGCTCCAGTTCTCACTTTGAGTGAGGAGGTTGCTTTCCTGCATGGTGGGGGTTTGTATTTTTTTTCTACATTGCAATAACAACACAATCAGAGCCATTTATCATGGAACTGACTAATGCAACTAGTTCATAAAAAAAAAAAAAATACTTGTTTATGTTACAATTTTTAATAAATAAATCAGAGTACATATTAAGGACATAAGTAAATGCTATTTAAGGTCTAGTACAGAACAAAATCTATATTGTAAAGACATGTTGAGGACCACAATTACTGTAATATTAAGGCCCTGATTTTGCAGAAACTGTGTATTTAACAAATACACACATGAAGCAACATGAAAGCCTCAATCTGATTGGTGAAGACTACAAAAATGCTATTAGAAACATCACAGAAGGAAAATTCTTGCATGGCAGTGAACATTTGCGACCAAACCCATTTGAATCTGAGTTTATGCATTTTAGGGATTGTTGGTGCTCTGAAACTCTAAAATATACCCAGAAATATGTCATCACCTTAAAGTTAAGGATATCATGGTAGAATAGAGAAACATTGATATTTCATTGGGTGATTGGCAAGGCAATACTAAAAAAACACAGAAGGAAGATATGGCTTGGTCCTATAGCTGGGGTTATTTATCCATGAGGTAACAAACTTTGGTCACTTTGCTTAAAGAAGCTTTTCTCTATAACTTTGTAACTCGGTTACTAGTTCCCATGTCATGTTTATTTTGCCTTTTCTGCCATTTTATCCAAAAGCCTTACAACCCTTAAAACTAACAAACCAAAGGTTTTGTTTTGAGTGTTTCTCTCACTAAATACCAAAGAAAATTATTCCTGTTATAGCACACAAAAATCTATATTTCTAAACTAAATTAGAATTTATAGAATTCTATTTATTATTTCTATTCCAGTTTTTATGTCATTTGAATTATTATTGTGAGTTTATCATTTTCCTTAATGGGATCTTAACTTTAAGTACAACTGTATGCTTCATTAAAAGGTGATTTGCCTCAACCTACTTTGTTTATTTTTTTTTATGTAAAAAAAAAAAGAATGCATCTAAATAAAAAGCTTGGATTAAATCGTCTGTTACATTATCCTGATTATTTGTTCTTTTTCTGGTTTGTTTCTCATTGGACAAACGAATTGTCCTCCATTGCAGCAGAATGTGAAAATTAGAAAGATCTACAGTTTTTTTTAAACTCCTCTCTCACTGAAAACATGTGTTCAGATACATTTAAAATGTCTAAGTCTGAAAAAATTGTTCCCTTTTGGCTGCTCTTTTCGAGAATTGCGACACAACCGGGCATCTTCTATTAGGTGAAACACCCCCTATTTGTTTATAGACTACTAATTCTAGGTTTGATTAACTTTTTTTATGTAATCTTAATAGACTTTTGCAGGATACGCATTTATTAAATCAATAATAAAAAAATAAAAAGTAAAGCAAATTACTTTGTTTAAACACACCGTCCCTTTAAATATCGCTAGTTTGTAATTGAAAATTTACATCACAAGTATTTCAAACTCTGGTAAATAGTATTTTTAATGAATACAGTATACTTTACCTTTGGGGTCATTGTGTGTGAGCAGCTGGATGTCGAACTCTTTGGCGAAGGCGGTCAGATCAGGAGGCATCACGCAGCAGGAGGCCAGGTTCACCTGGTTACTGCTGGGCTTCACCTGCTCCGCAACAGGAAAGTAGCTTTTATTTCACACACGACTGATCAAAACAGAATCCTGTTACTTCATAGTAATACTTCAAACAGGGTTACTTCATAGTTTTAATTTGGGAAGTCCTACTTTTCAAGACTGAAATTCCTTGGAAATTTCCCAATTATTTTTAGATCCAAAATTCTTATTAAAAAGGAGAAATGTTACTAAAAATATAATTTTTATGTGAGACTACAAGGATCTTGGAAAAACTACAACCTAGTAACAGTAAAATATAAGACCAAAGGAATCGCACATTGGCTCGTAAGTTTAACGGCTGGCTAGCTCAAGTAGTAAGTCACCCGTCCCGCAAACAGGAAGCCTGGGTTTCTATCTCAGCTGGGGGGGAATGAGCTGCCAGTGTGGGTCCTTAGGCAAGACCCTTTACACCAATGCCTGCTTTGGGGAGTTGTGGTCTAGGGCATTGTGCTTGGAATCCGTACTTTCTGAATTCAAGCCCCACTCCCACGGACTCTCCCTGAGCAAGACCCTTAACCCCTATCACACAATGGCAGCCCACTGCTCCCCAAGGGCATGGGTTACATGCAGAGTTAATTTCTTTGCTCTATACTTGTGACAGTGTAATGACAATAAAAAACGCTGGAAATATAAGAAAATGCCCGTTGTAGGAATAAGTTTGATTTTTAAATGCATATTAACAAGGATGCAATGCTGTGGAGTAACACTAAACAATAAAGATATATATCTCCATTACTGATATAGAACTGATACGATAGCATGAATCATACTAGCTTCTATTACTCACTGTAGAACGCTAGGAAAGTCTTGATCAAGTAATATTGATAAGTATATTATATTGGGGGAACAAAAAGTAAATGACAAAATGTATGAAAACTACTGATCCATGTAAAATATAACAAAAACAAACCAGCAATTCTATTGCAAGGGAAGCAAAACTTTAGCCGACATCCCTGTTTCTACACATTGGGGACACTTGGAGGCCATTTTGGATAGCTGTCATTTATTCTACATATGAAAAGAACGTAATCTATTAATCCCAATGTTTAAAGTTACCCAATCAGGTAACTTCTGACATTCAAACCAGAATTGTACAATAGGTCATAGAACTCGCAGAGAAAGGGTCAAGCTTTAATCTAACACGTTATTAATGTCAATATAAGCAACATTATCATCATCAGTGAAGAACTAAAAATGCAACAAAGACAGCATACATTTTATTGGCTTTAGGTAAGTATAGCTTCCTATTTTTTTATGGTTATCTTAACAGTACAATGCTATGAGCTTCTGCAGGTCTTTAAGGAATTAACAGCAAGAAGCAGTGCGCCGTCTTATCTATGAGCGGTTGGATGTGGCTCTAACACCAAGAACGATGGGAACTGTGAGCTGAGTCATGCTAACTGAACCAGATCCAGTCTATACATGACCATAAATGTGAGAGATTAGTAAAAGGCTTTTACTGAACACTACAGCAGGGTTGGCCTGCGATGACTCATGCATTCTAACATAGGGGTTAGGCACAGATGTAAAGCTGGCATAATGAGGGATTGGTGGTTTCCTGATGTATTTACATATCCCGACATGGAACACCCTGATGCACATCCAGCCTATGCAGTCTCATTATGTGTAGAAAGATGCAGAGACGACCTACTGCTGTCTGCATAATTTCTGACGTAGATTCAGATGAAATGTGTGGTTTCTGCAAATAAGAGTTTTGAAGCATAATAACCAGAGTGCAAAAAAAATTTTTTTCCTCTTTGTTTGTTGTAGTTTTCTAAATAAAAATACATTCAATTTAAATGCTCCAGTCTCCCCCAGTCCCCAGAACACTTCTGCATTCATTACCTCTAACCGTATATCTGAATCATTCCAGAAGTGCACAAAGTTAACAGACGTCTGATTTTGCACATAAAGCATAAATATCCGCTGAGTCTTTATTTTCACACGCCTCATTTAAGAGGTTCTTCAACTCACATCCAATGGAGTTTCCACTTGTTTCTGGGTAAACATGAGTCTTAAACACGTAGCCGGAATCTATTTGTATATGTAAAAACTGAGTGAGTGTATGGCTGTTTATTTTGGATTAGTCTGTGTCGCCCTATGGACTGGTTAGATGGTAATTTTAAATTCCCCCCTGAATCATTTGAAATGATATTTACTGAAACAACAGCTAATTCTGCTCCCAAGCTGTTAAGGGTTAAATACCAATGAAAATAAGCATGCATAAAGAGAAGGAAAAGAAAGAAAACAGAGTATCTTTCTGAAAGAGGAATATTGTTTCTTTATTTCGGCCTATTGCCGATCCATCTACCTGGGCCCAGTTGTAGAGCTGCTCCAGCAGATCTTTGTCCAGATCTGAGGTGCCGATGGCTGCGATCTTCTGCTTCCTGACCAGAGCCTCCAGCTCCTCCCAGGCCGGCTGCAGGTGAGCCAAAGTCTGGTTGTCGCCCTCCGCAGGCCCAGAAGGTGCTATGATAACAGAGTCGAGCTGGGACACTGACAATGTCTGGCAAGCTGGAGTTGAGGAAACAAAACGGTTTGGATAATAAAAACAAAAACCAGTGGCACAGCAAAGCATGTGGGGATTTTAACGAAGGGATATTAAACTCACCCATTTCTACTGCATCTCTGATTGCTGACTGGTCCGACTCACAGAGGAAGAGCTTCACTGCAAAAAACAAAACAACATGAGGATGCCGTCCTCTATCAACTAGTTAAACCTGGTGTGCCCAAATTTATTTAGATATATTTATTAATGAAGGAACTGGTTTCTCCACAATAGAGAAAAGTGCTTAAACAGTCAACTGTCCAGACTGATGATTCTTTACTACTATTTAGCAAAAAAGTGAAAGACTGGATTATTTTATTTTGCTCATGTCATTAGGGACAAAAATGTCTGGACTGAAATAATCTACAATTTTGGGTTGACGATCAAACCGATCAAAGCAGTTCTGACCTGAAACTTTCACTTCATCTCTTTCTTCAGGCGTGATAGCATCTGTTGCCTCTGGAATGGAGCAGTCAAGTGTATCTGGAAAGTCCTGTTGGAGAGGAAATATCTTAAAGCCTATGCACACAACTGTAAGAGTTTTTTTCTTTGCCATTGAAACACCTGGTTAAAACACTTAATTAATTTAACCGGCAGAAATAATAGGAAATAATAGGTCATTTTTGTTGCTACATCGCTTCTCTACAATTTCCTTTGCTTGCATTAAGGTGAGCACACGCTCCAACTAGCCTGCAGTCGCCTGCAAAATAAGCTAACATATGCAGGTTTTGAAACACCCAAAACCTCCATATGTTAGCAATAACTCTCAAACTGATTAAAGGAGTCAACCTTTACTAAGCTGTTATTAACAAAGGAAACACATTTAGTGTATAAATTCTTAACCTTCACTGCACATTATGCTGAGACACCAAACAAACGTTGGCCCCAAACGTTCAAATAAAAATCTGATCCCTTGACTTTTCTGATAACAAATTCCCCAAATTTCCCTGCAGGAAAATTGTTGCACAAGCTTTCAGAGGGGATAACACCCTTTTACATCAGCTATTCAGAGGCCCTCCATGTCCAGCAGAGTGTGATGATAAAAGCTGAGGCAGATTAGCTGAGCTCAGCAAAATATCCAGTTCATGGCAATATCCTGTAGCCTATTTAATTTGACTTAAGTCTGAGATATTTGTTAATGGGATCATTTTTAAGTATTGCCATTTAAGAGGAATTTCAAAACTCTTGTAGGAAAGGATTTTCACCGTCAAACACTTCTTTAAACCAGCAGCAAGATGCACAGAGGGAACAGGGCCATTGGTAGGCAGCGCTGCATGAACATCGACTCTGACAGCTTCTGTCCTGAAAGCCAGAGGGCTTTGATCTGCATCACTGCTGTTATTTCGCCTTAAAAAAAACAAAAAACGCTGGAATCTAAATAGCCGATGGCACGGCTGCACACCGTGCACAAGCTGCTCATGTGACCGTACAACCATCTCGATGCAAATATTATTTTCTTAACAAAAAACAAAAGCCTTCTACTCACTGCATTTGTAGTTTTAGCTGTCGACAACCAGTCACTCAGTGTGGCCTGGATGCAGTCTCTTAGCTGAAAAATAAAACAAAAATCAGGTAATACAAAAAACCCAGCAACAGAGAGTGCATAGGTTATAACAGGTTATAAACAAGGAAATCAAGCTGTACCATCCTTAGCAAAACACAACAGAAATATATTTTATATATGGATAAAGCAGAGGAGCTGACCCAGTTCTAAGGGACAGAGCTTAAGTTATTTTGTCAAGGACAGTTTCAAGAGTCACAGCAGAAGAAGGAAAAGCAAAGCTAAGAACAATTAAAATAATGGGAATATTGTTCTGTTTTACTGGAGTGACTACACCACTGAAGAAGGATCAATATCAAAACTAGCTTCTGCACAATAGAGAGATTTTGCGTGAGCAGGTAAACAGATGAAAAGTGCTGTCTCATTACTTTAAACTGAGGTAAGTACACCGCAACCTTTGTCCTTGATAAGGAATTATAAGTCCAAAGAGCAAGCTAGTATGACAGGAACACTAACTGCTGTGTCATGGTGCAGAAAATAAACTTCAAACACAACAGCAACACAATGAATAGTCAAAATAACCTAAACCAATCCCTCTTTGTAAACAGGCACCATATATGCCCATAATAAAATCTGTCAGCAGCCGATTTGATTGACGAACCGCAGGGAAAAGTATCATAAATCATAAACAGATCCATTTCAAATGGTAAATACTAAACGTACGCCTACTAATTTTTTATCAGTTCACCATTTAATTATATATTAAAAATAAAATTTTTGAATGGCATAAAAAAGGTTTATTTTTATAATTCAATTGAACTCCTACATTCAGATTATCGTTTATATTTGTTGTTTACATTTATACCAAACATGCAGCTCATTGGAAAATAGGAATATAACACAAAAAATAGGCTCTTAGTAAAGAGTAGATTGCCTATAGAATAAAAATGATCACAGGCAACCTGACTGCTGCCGATCGTCCAGTTACTTGTGTTAAAGGTCTCCTGAATGAGAAGGCGAGTTTTTAGCTTGTAGAAGAGATGAGAGGCAAGAATAAAATCAAAGTTTTGATAATTTAAGGAAGCCGTGTCATGTTGAGGTTATTGTGCTTAGCTAATGTGGCTTTGGCAAACCAAACACAAGTTGCTGAGGTAGCACTTTAATTGATTGTGTAAAAGTTGAGCATCAGTCTTCATAGGAGCTGTGCCATCCTCAGATTTCTGCTTTGGTTTGCTTTCTGCAACACACTTAATACATCTTCTTTTGTTTATTCCTCCTAATGTTAAGTATCTTCTTTTCCTTCTTACCATTCAATGATCTGTTCTAGTAGGCATATAAATATCTCTCCTACTCATCATGTGTAATCAGACATACCACAGATGTCTGAAATGTATACAGGGGAGTGTTACCTGTAAATAAGAAGAACAGTACCCTCTAAATAATGTAAAGCAGACAGGTTGAGCACAAAGCCCCGTCTTTATATTACTAGGTGTGAAAAATGCTCTGCTATTTTCAGTGTGGTTTGATCTGGTCCTGAGAAACAAAAAATAATCATTTACAGCTTGTAAGCATGTTTTCTGCACAATGTTTTTTTTTCTCCCACACTGTTTACATTTGATCACTGCTGCACTTTAAGAAATAGAAATGTCATGAAAGCTGTATAAAACGAAATTTCGTTTTTATACAAAATGACAATAAAAGTTGTCTAAGTCTTTTTGATGTAGCTGACTTAAAATAAGTCTGAATGTTTAACATTTTGACCCCTTTATGTCTAGAGCTCCTCAATGAATGAATTATAATGGTCATCTTATTACTATAAAGACACTCTTGTTGGTCACAATATTCATAAGTATTTACATTTATTAAGGGAACAGTAAATTATATGTTCCTCTTTAATCTAAGTTGATCTAACTTCAGAGTATGCCTCCGATAATCATTGATCAGACGTTAGTCTGTAAACTATTCACTTCAACCTGACATGATTTCAGTGTAATTGTTAATACATAACCTGAAAATGTTAAATTCAATTAAAACACATGGATCCATATGGATAGATGTAAAGTTTTTAACTCTTATTGTTTTTTTTTTTTTATATATATATTTTTATAAAAAATAAATAAATAATTATTTAACCTATCAGGTTAAATGATTTAGTAGCTTAGCCTAAGTTGGCAGCTAAGCTAACAGGCTAACAGGTAGCTTGGCTGTTCTTACCTCCTCGCTGGGAGAGCCTGGACACTTCCTCTTCAGTCTGCTCCGGTTGACTAGATTCCCGGTGTGCAGTCGGAGGGTCTTGCTGTGGTTAAGCAGCCCCTTCCCCTCAACGTTCATGTTGCTGTTTTGAGGATCCATGTGGCTGTCGGTTGCTAAGCTAACGGTTTATAAACAGTGTTTATGCTGCGTCAAAATGAAACAAAATAGCTGTATCAGCCTTGTGAGCAAATAGTATTCTACAACCTTCACAACTAGATATAAACACACTGAGAGCACGACTGTTGACAAACTGCTGTGTTCAGGATGACTTGCATTCAGTCTTTCACTTGGTGCCTGTCGAGCGACCTTACTGGCTGTTGTTGGAGTGAAGCCGGTCGGTCACGCCCACACGAGTCCCTGCTACTTACGTGACCTGCAATGTTTTTGTTGAACCAGTAGATGGCGCGGTTGTGTTTGTAATTATTTTAATATGGCGGAATGTTGGTCTGAAAGGATGTTCAGGTTATTGTCAGAGGCTATTTGGCCTTTTAATGCAGGCTTTACACAAGCATACATTTTCTGTGTGTTTGCACAACTGTTTGTCAAAAGATTTCCTTGGTAGTTAACTAGTTACCAGACCACGGAAGAGGATTAGGGCCATGGAAAAATAGAAAATAAAAAGGTAACTGATTTTTAAATATTATTTCAGTTTAATATGGGGAAAAAAGTCGGAATTCAGACTTTTTTCTCAGAATCCTGACTTTAATCTCAGAATTCTGATTTTAATCTCAGAATTCAGACTTTAATCTCAGAATTCAGACTTTTTTCACAGAATTCTGACTTTTTTTCACAAAATTCAGACTTTTTTCCCCCCAGAATCCTGACCTTAAATCTCAGAATTCTGATTTTAATCTCAGAATTCAGACTTTAATCTCAGAATTCAGACTTTTTTCTCAGAATTCAGACTTTTTTCTCTCAGAATTCTGACTTTAATCACAGAATTCTGATTTTAATCTCAAAATTCTTACTTTTTTCTCAGAATTCTGACTTTTTACTCAGAACTCTGACTTTAATCTCAGAAATCAGACTTTAATCTCAGAATTCAGACTTTAATCTCAGAATTCTGATTTTAATCTCAGTTAAAAACCTTAATTTTGGATCTTGATGTAGATGGGCACCATTAAGGAAGAGATGTGGGAGCATTCAGCTTCACTGTCAAAGATGTGAGTTGTTTGAGAGGGCCAGTGACACATTGGTGGAAAATGACGGAATAAGGTCACTTTTTACGTGCCCGAGGGGGCCCCCAGTGATGCTATTTCATTAATAGAAACGCAATGGTGATTAAAACAAGAGAGCTAGTCTCTAAAACAGACATGGTTATGGCTTGATGCTAACCTGTTTGGTTAGCTGTCAGAATTCAGTCAGAATTCTGAGATTAAAGTCAGAATTGTGACTTTTTTCTGATATTATACTGAAATAAAATTTTAAAATCAGTTAACTTTTTTTTTTCCCAGTGGCCCTAATCCTCTTGCGCACCAGACTGCTCTACATTTTTTTTTTTTTTTTTTTTTTTTTTTTTTTTTTATGAGAATCTTCATTGGTTATTGCCCTGCTGGATGTGATCCTCGGTCCCAGTCCCAATGCAGGTTCTAACAAGTTTTCTTAACTTTGATCATTCCATTGTCCTATTAAGTCTGAGAATGTTTCCCAATCTTACTGAAGTAACATTTCCCCAAAGTGTGATACTTTAAAAAAGGATACTATAAAAAAAGTTTTAAGGATGTTTCAAAATCAAATTATAAAAGTTTTTAACTGGCGTGAAAAAAATGAAAATGTAACAAGTATAGATATAGGTCAAAGCTTGATAACTGTTTGTTAAAAAAAAAATAAAAAATAACTAAGCTGCTAAAATGTGTATAATATCAGGGGTGGAGCTAGCTGGGGGACCTGGGGTGGCCCCTTGGCTACTTTTTGCCACCCATACCAGGCGGTCCCCATATTTGCTTAATTCATAGGCAGTTTCCTTCAAAAGCAGAGGGTGGCAGCAGTGATACTCTACTATTTTCAGATATTAATTGTTCATATATTAAAAATAATAAGAAGCTAAATAAAGTAGTTAATTACTCACATCAACATACTAACATTAAATATGATGGATACAGAATACATGCTCTTTTCAAAACTACTTTTTTGTCTTTTATTCAGTAGAAGAGAAAGTTATATGTCTTTGCTGTCATCTATGAGTTTTCTATGTAATTAGAGATAAATAACAACTAAACTGTATGTATTATTGCATGCATACATGAATTTGATGCAGAACAATTACAGATAAAATTGTAGCAGGCAATTTTTCCATTAATATAGGTAATAAATATTAAAATCTTTTTTTGTATACAGTACCCATGTGAATATAGGGGCCAATTCTTCCTGCTCTTCCACCAGCATGTAAAGAAGTATCTCATATACACTCTGGTCTACTTTTTTTTTTTTCTAAGGCCTACCTCTTCTCTTCATAAACGTATAAGACTGCTTCTTGTGACTCTCAGCCATTTTCTAAGTTATACAGGGAGAGTTGGAGCAGGCTGAAACCAAAGTGCACATGCACAGCAAGAGCAGGCCAATAGATAGGATGTCCCCCCTGGCACTAAAATACAAAAGAAGATTGTTCACTATACCTTTAATGCAGACAACATGAATGAGTAAATATCTGCATTTATGTATTAGCAAAAGGTTTAGGAAAATCTAGTTGGTATTTATCTGGAAAATGCAGATGTTGTGGTTATTCATTTGACTTGGTACAGTGTAGATTGACCCTGAACTGGTCAGTGGTTATTGTAGAAATATTTAATGGACAATTCTTAAAAAAAAAAATGCATGCAAAAAATTCTACAAAGGATAATTTTTTTTTTTCCTTTTTTTTTAACTGCAGCACTTATTATTTATGTTTCTAACGAGTGTAAATAAGTTGATAATCCCAAGTTGAGTTTGTATGGTTTTCTTTTTGTCTTAGTGGTCCTCTTTCCTGCTTTCTATTTCTCTTTTTCTTCCATGTTGTTTTTTTTATCTAGTGCTGTGAATAAATACTTTTAAAACAATTATGTTTTTCAGTCCCTGAAGTGGCTTTTTACTAGAAAGACCATTACTGCTGCAAAAAGAAAAGCATTTTTTCCCCCCGTCCTCTTTAAAGTCAGGAAAATGTTAAAATAACAATGTCAGTTTCTTTTGTTTATAATTTCTTTGAGCAGCATCTTTACTGACCCATGTTTGCCCTATCAGTGTTTGGTGCCAAGCATTTTTTTAAAACTATTTTCAACAGGATTCCTAGAGTTTGGTGTGTAGAGGTCTATAAACTCCAATGCTTTGATCTTTAAGCCATTTCTTTATCACTTTTGCCTTGTGGTCGGCTGGTCGCCTAGAAATTGAATATTGAAAGAAGTTGAACTCCGGGTGAATTTCTTGATACACTTCTCAATCCATTCCAATATTCTGGGGTAGTTTTGAGAAAGTCTACTCCACTGTTTAAGAAACACACATGGGTTATATCAGGAAGCCTGGCTTATTGGCAGGACCCGTGAGTCATGATAATACACCTTCTTCCTGCAGTCAACTTATTTCCCAGATGTTCCAAACAATTCTAAGCAGGATTAATCCGTTCAAATTTCATAACTTTTATTTCACAAAGCCAGGGTCCAAAAGGTTCTCGTCTCAGTCAAGCTGTATGTTCCTTCAAACCAACCTGCTGCTGATTAGCTCTGCAATGGTGGCAGCAACATTGATTCAATAAACACCAAGTAGGAAACACATACCATGCCTGCTGAATCATCGTGGATTTCCTGAAGTTTTCATCCCAACACTAATGTTGAAGCTCAGATCATGCAAAAGAAAGTTCACCCTCTTTAAATATTATTTTAAAAATGGAAATATCTTAAAGGATGTGGATGTGTGGTTTTAGGACACTTGTGGGTTTATAGGATTTAACCGATATGTGTTTAGGTTAAGGACCCACTGTGACATCGGTGTTACCGCCCCTTTGTGTGTTAAGAAAACTCTTTTTTTTTCAGGTTTAATATTGACTTTTCACTCATCAGGTCCCAAAGTGATGTCCAATGAACATCCTGATTCAGTCATGTGGCTAGTGGGGGTACAGACTACATCATTTCTAAATGTGTTTAGAGGACACATTAGATGGCCAGTGACACTAATTTTAGTAAAACTGTTTTCTTCGTGCAATGGTAAGTTTTCCTTTGCTCAGCAATTTTAGTCCCTAGATAACAATCTATGTAACAAGTATAACCTAATTTGACTGCATTTCTAAAATATTTTTATGAATTATTGATTGGTCAAATATTATATCGGATATTGAACTAAAAATTTTGGGGAAAAAAAATCATGTGACATATTTATCACAATAAGATAAATAGATGCAAGGGTGGATAAAGAGCACAACATGGTTATTGTCAAGTGGTATGACAACCAGGGGCGCTGTATAGGGGGGGAAGTTAGGATGATTCTAAGGGCCCTTAACTGAGGGGGGCCCAATAGAAGAAGAAAATATTATTCCTGCAATATTTTTCTAATATAAAAAAGAAAATTCAGTAGTAAAATAAATAATCTTCATGTTCTCCCTCATTTTTCAGCAGTAAATAGTGAAACGAAGCATGAATATATTGACACTCCCCCTCTAATGAATTTGCAATCAATCGTTTGGTCCTCAGGTCCTGCATCGCATCAGGTCTCCCCGTCTGTCATTGGCAGTTTGCTTGTACCGGGGCTAAAATGCCACGCACGCATTATTTGAAAACTACATAAAGCAAAGCGCAACTACATTAAGGAAATCGCAACTACATAAAACAAAGCGCAACTACATTAAGAAAAACAAAACTACATAAAGCAAAGCGCAGCTACATTAAGAAAAACAAAACTACATAAAGCAAAGCGCAACTACATTAAGAAAAACAAAACTACATAAAGCAAAGCGCAACTACATTAAGAAAAACACAATTACATTAACCTACCGGAGAAGGTAGGTACCAGTGGGAAACATGAGACATCGCTGATTGGACGACGGCGCCGTTTGACCCTTGAACCGGAAGTTGCGTCGTCTCAACAGTCCAGCTTCTTTTATCTATTTTTTTAATTCTTTTTTTTATTTTTATTTTTTATTGAAAACTTCAAAATTTACAGACAAACATGGCCGCATAGAGTTAGTTTCTTCAAGTCAGGTTACATAGAAAATATAGCCAGGGGGGACATCTCTTCACAAAAATTGAAATATATCTATAACATAGCTATAGAGAGCTGAATAGATGATAACACATGTACGTTCTATGAAAATGACATTGAAACTACGGACCATGTTTTCTTCTCATGTTCAGTGGTGCAAACATTTTGGAGTGATT